CCTTGCTTCGTAGGATCTTCACCTTCCTCTCGAGAATGGTCAGCGGTCTCTCCACGTAGTTCAAATGCTCATCGACCTGAATGTCATCCAACGAAACTATAGCATCCTCATCCAGGTTGCACTTCCACAATTATGGAATGTGGAAAGTATTGTGGATCTGACTCAACTCTTCCGGGAGCTCCAACCTATAAGCCACCTTGCCAACCCTGGCAATAACCCTAAATGACCCAATGAAGTGGGGACCCAATTTCCCCCTCTTTCTGAAGCGAATGACACCCTTCCAGGGTGAAACCTTCAGGAGTACCATATCACCAACCTGAAATTTCAACTCAGATCGGTGCCGGTCAGCGTAGCTCTTCTGTCGACTCTGTGCGGTCTGCAGCCGCTATCTAATCTGCTGAATCCTCTCAGTAGTCTGCATAACCATCTTGATTCGGCCCATCACCCTGTGGCCAACTTCACCCCAACAAACCGGGGTGCGACATCTCCGCCCATATAACAGCTCGAAGGGTGGGGCACCTATGCTGGAGTAGAAGTTGTTGTTGTAGGAAAACTCTGCAAGCGGTAGGTGTAAGAGTAGTTTGGTTGTAAAGAGTCGAAGTCTTGTATGTACTCTTCATATGTTTTGATATCTATTTTACTAAGGCATTTTATACAAAGCTTTGTTGTCTAGTCCTTAGTATATTTTTTGTACGCTTTTACTCTCCTATAAATAGGAGTCTTTACTAGAGTTAGAGAAGTTTTTACAGTCTTGTCTACTTTTGTACACAGTAAACCTAAAGCGTAATATTGAGCTGAATCATGATCTTATTTACATCGGTGTTCAATATTTCATACAATTTCTGATTACTTACTCTGATTAATATTCAAACTCGATTCTTAGATTCTACATTTGGTATCAGAGCAGGAATCATATCTCTGATCTGATTTTCATTCTTTCACAAGTTTTTAAATCAATTTTTTTTGGTTAAAAGTTTCCGAACTTTTTGAAAAGTGAAAAGTTAATTGGATCTAAGTCTATGATTCGATTCTGCACTTGAATTGTTGAATTGGGTGTTCTCTTAGTTGTTTCAATTTGAATAAACTAGTTTACTGTTAAAAATCTCAAGTTTTCTTCAAATTCTAAAAGTTTTCTTTCGTGCAACAATGGCACCATTCAATCTTAATTCCATGACTTCGTTCTCTCATTTGTTAGGATCATTAACAAAAATTCCAATGCTAATTCCTGAGTATTACGATCAGTGGGCTGATCGTATGGATGATTATCTCAATGGTTTAGATGCAGAACTGTGGACTTGTATTTATGGTAATATCAATCCTCCATAAAATGTTCAACCACTTGGAGCGTCTTCTGCAAGTTCTGGAGTAGAGAATCAAACTGAACGTATGTAGAAGGAAGAGAAGAAGGATGCGAATAATGTTGAGGGAAAGATTGAGAAGAAGTTGAAAGGAGATGCCAGAGTAGACTGTCACTACTGTAAAGATGCCAATCATTTAGCTAATGATTACATGTTGAGGAAGAAAGATGAGAAGAAAAATAAGGTAAAAGATGAAGCTTATTATGTTGAAAGACTGGAAGAGGTTCGTGCGAAGGCAAAGAACTTGTCATTGGTTTCCATGGGAGAACAAGATGATGATGGAACTTATCAAGTCTGGTCATCTGGATCAGATGATGAGGAGATGCGAAATCCAACACATGGAGCAATGTCTGCGATGATGGAGGAGGAATTGGATGAGGAAGCATACGAAGTTAAAGGAAGATGCTTCGTATCAAAGGCTACAGACACATCTCCAATAACAACAAAGGTACGCAATATTCTTGAATCTTTTAACATTCCAGTACATGCTTATAATTCTGAATTGGTATCTTTTGATGAAACTGTTACTTATTTTGATTCAATTGTGGTGTATGTAGCAATGAGGCTAAGAAGCTTTCGATGCAGTTGTTAGAGACAGAGAAGAAGTTAGATTTGAAAAACACGAAAGTAGATTGTTTAGAACTTCAGATTACAAACATTATGGTTGATAGGGATAATTTGGCAATTGAAATAAAATTGTTATTAGCACAAAGAAACATTTATTGTAATTCAGTTAAGAGATTGTATGGGAAATTAACATAATTACATCATTCTTGTGAGATAAGTAAGGAACAACATAGAAAGTTATTGCCTTTTTTAGCTTATGGAAGAGCTAAGGTAGATAATATTTCATATAATTATGAGAAAGAAATAGCCGAATTTGACAAAGTTCTTGATGATATATATATATATATATATATATATATATATATGGAATAGTCAAAGTAGATGAATGTCTTGATGCTACTGAATTAGTTGAAATTGTAAATGATACTTTGACTAAGTCTGAACAAATTCACATTTTGAAAAAGACTGAAACTTCAACATCTGATGCTCAATCTAATTTTGTTGACATTGAAGATAATTCTGATAATATCAGTGTAATTAGAGATCTTGAGGATGTTGATTGTTCTCAATTGTCTATTATTAATGTTGCATCTTCATTTAAAGGGAAAGAAAAAGTGAATGATTTGTTGGTTAAGAGTGATACTAATCAACCCTCAACTTCGAAAGTTTGTGATTTGGAATTCGTAGAAATCAGAGACAGTCAAACAGATGATAGTGATGATGAAAAAGATGAGCAACATTCGAAGGAAAAGGTATTTTCAAAGAATGAAGAAATTCCTCGAATTGTAGTTGACCAGGTGTATGGTGATACACAAAAGTATGAAAAAGTGTTGAAAGAACAATGTGCTTATTACCTTGAAACAAATATTGTGGTGTATCCAATTTTCAAGTGTTCATACGATGTTGTGTTTCCAAACCAAGTGTTCGTAACAACTGGAAATGTTGAAAATGTTAAACCAGAATTCAAGAAAATGGTGGAACAAGACAATTTAAAAACATCAGATGAAGGGTTCTTCGCAAATCAAAGCACAGTTGAAAACAATCTAACAAAGAATTCATATGTTTTTCAAAGACAAAAATCTAAGAGAAAATGGGTTGAAAAATCAAAACTTGAGAAAGAAGTCACCAAACCAATTTTTGAGGAAATGAAAAGTGGGGTGAAATTAAATTCAAAAAAATTTAAAGAAAAAATTGAAATTTTTTCAAAAGAAAATAATGTTTCAAAAAGACAAGCACGAAAGAAAATATTTTGGCAAACAATCGAGTCTAGAAAAGCGTCAACTGAATTGTCGAAACCAGTTAAGTCTGTGAATTTAGACAAAAAGAAAAATTCTGCTTATTCAAGCAAAAAGGTGTCTGAATCAAAGTCATCAAAATATATTTTCAAAGTGAAAAATTCATCTTTTTCAAAAGTAAAACAAGTTTATCATCCAAAAACTCATATTAAGTTTGAAGTGAAAACAACCCCAAAGTTTTCGAAAGTGTCAAAACCTAACATTTCAAGCAAGATTTCTGATAATTCGTTAAATTATAATTCAACAAAGTTTTTTTCTCCACGTCAACATTTTAAATCAGTAGTTGATACTTCCTATGTTGAATCATTTGTTTCAAAACCAAAAATTGATTTTGTTCCTCAAAAGCCAAATTTCCCTAATCATACGAAGAAACAAACATTGAAAGCTTCGCATGCAAAAGGAATCACTTCACGAAAGAATATTGATCACTGGATCGAAGGAAGAGGAAGAATTTATCAATCAAGTAAATATTCGAAAGATCAAATCAACGAAGTTTATGAGAAGCATGTAAATACCTCTTCAAATGGCAGTTCGTCATCAAAGGATTCAAATATCTTGCTAAAAGCATGGAAACCAGTCATAAAAGAGAAGATCGAACAATCACAGACTCAGAATGCGAAGGGTGACGTTAGTATACATACGAAACAAAAAAAACCTTATGTTTCAATCCCTACAAAGGAAGATGTGGACATCATTAATTGTCTCAAAACTAAAGTTTGTGATTTAGTCAACAATTATTCTTTCAAATCGTTGTTGAAATCTAATTTCCAAGGACCCAAAAATCCTTGGGTACCTAAATTCTTTCAATGATTGCAAGTACTCTGTGACGAACAATATGATAATAAATGGTACATCGATAGTGGTTGCTCTCGTCACATGACTGGGGAGAAGGAGAATCTTATAGACTTTCGAAGCTTGAAAAATGTTGGAGTTGTTATGTTTGGTAATAACCAAAAGTGTCAAGTCAAAGAATATAGGAAAATCATGAATAGATAGTTCGCAGTAAATAAAGTTGCTTATGTCGAAGGTTTACAACACAACTTGATAAGTGTGTCACAATTTGTGGTAGGCATTGGCAATCAAGTACTTTTTAATGAAGAAGGAAGCATTATTTCGAATGTTTACACAAAAGAAGTTTTGCTGGAATCCAAACGGAAGGGTGACATGTTTACTTTGGACATCAATCCAATTGTGGGTAAACCCGTTGTATGTCTTCTTTCAAAAGCTACATCAGATCTGAGCTGGCTATGGCATCGAAGACTTTCATATCTCAACTTCAGAAATATCAACAAACTTGTTGTGCAAGATTTGGTAAGAGGTTTACTTGTACTTAAATTTGATAATGATTCTTTATGTGCAACTTGTGAAGTTAGCAAGAAACATAAACAAGGTCATCCGATCACAATTGATTCAAAGATTGTTGAACCACTGGAACTTTTACATATTGATTTATGTGGTCCGTCGACAGTTTCAACTATCAACAACAAACAATATATCTTATTAATTGTTGATGATTTTTCCAAATTCACATGGGTTTATTTTCTCAGATTAAAATCCGAAGTGGCACAAATCATGATGGACTTTATCAAGAAAATGGAAATTACCTTGAAAAAGCGTGTTCGCAAAATCAAGAGTGATCATGGAGCTGAGTTTAAGAACAATGTTCTTGATTCATTTTTAGTGGAAAAAGGCATTTCGCATAATTTCTCTTTACCATACACTCCACAGTAGAATGATGTTGTTGAACGAAGAAATCGATCTTTATGCGAAGCTGCAAGAACTATGTTGGCACATGCGAACTTACCACAATATCTTTAGGCTGAGGCTGTATCCACTGCGCGTTTTACACAAAGTAGATCTTTCATTCATCGACGTTTTAATATTACACCTTACAAAATTCTAAATAATCAGAAACCTAATGTGAAATTATTTCATGTCTTTGGATGCATGTGTTTTATTATGAATCTCAGGGATAACCTTTCGATATTTCAAGCTAAAGCTGATGAAGGGATTTTCCTGGGGTATTCGCATAATTCAGTGGCATATCATGTATTAAACAATTGTTGTGACAAAGAACATGGTTTGGCAGTCGGAATTTAAGTTTACACAATTAAACATGGTGATGTGGGTGCTAAAAGATATATTCGATCATAGTAAATGAGTACAAAAAGGGATCTAGTCTAGAGCTTCGTAAATATCTCACTTATTAATCACTATAACTACATCTCTCAAGCACACCTCTACAAGTGGACAAACCCACCTTATATAGAGGTATTTACATGTATCTCTCACTCTCATTTACACATGTGTCAAAAGGCTAATACTCCACATGAAAGTGGGTTTTACAAAAGTCAAACATTTATTAAGTCAATCATGAATAACTTTGCACCCCAACAGTATGTAGGAGTCCCAGCTCCCACCGAAGTCAATAACGCAGGCTCTTAACATATCCTCAAGAGTTTGTATAGTCCACTCACTCTGGTCGTCAGTCTGCAATGATAGGTTGTACTGAAGTGCATCCGCGTGCCTAATTACTCGTGGAACTTTTGCCAGAAACGGGAAGTGAACCGAACATCACGATCTGAAACAATAGAAACGGGTACCCCATGGCGAGCAACGATCTCGCGGATATATACCTCAGCCAATTTCTCTGCTGACAAACTCTCTCGTATAGCTCAAAAGTGGGTACTCTTGGTCAATTGATCCACGATGACCCAGATAGCGTCGAAACCCCTGGCCATCCTTGGCAACTTGGTGATGAAATCCATCACAATCTGCTCCCATTTCCATATGGGAACCTCCAGAGGCTCCAACCTGCCATGCGACCTTTAGTGCTCGGCCTTGACCGTCATGCAGGTCAAGCACCTCTTGACATACCATGCGATGTCTCGCTTCATACATGGGCACCAATAACTCAACTGCAAATATTGATACATCTTGGTGGCTCCCTGGTGAATGGAGAAACGAGACTTCTGAGCATCCTAAAAAACAACCTGTCTAACCCCACCGGACATCGATACCCAGACCTAACCGAAACGGGTAAACAACCCCCGACTATCCTGCACGAACCGGGTGTTCTCACCCTTAATCCTTTCCAACTTCCAATTTTCTCGATGCATGCCCTCTGCTTGAGCTTCCCTGATCAAACGCACAAGTGGGGAATCCACTGATAACCTCATACACGCCACCACATGTCCCCTTTGCGGAACTAAGAATGTACACTTGTCACCGGTGAGGCAAAACCTGAAGAAACACTTGAACACAAAGTAATCAAGGAGGTAGTTATTCGCATGATAGATCATCTCAAACACCACCAATTTATTTACAACATTTGGAGTTAGCATCTGAAGACTGCAACCTTCCTTCTGGAGAACTTCCTCCTGGAAATCAGTCAGTGGAAGACGAACACCAGCATCTAGGGTTTTCTGGTAAATCCCGATTTTTCCGGGGGGAGGGGATGAGATAAAAGAACCATGTGAGGGAAACTCCATGCCTCCCAAAGGAGAAATACCATAGGTGGTTTCAAGCTGTTGATACTCAGCCGCAGAGGGAAGGATGCTAGGAAGATTCTCCATAAGCAAAGGTAGAAGAAAACAGACTTAGGAAGGAGAATGACGAAGAAAAGAAGGTGGGTTTCAAGAAAACCCTATGGATGTCCTTAAAAGAACATAAAAGGTGGGACAGTCAAAAGTATCTGACACAATGACATAACCGCTAGCCATCATGAGCGGACACGTCGTCATTAAAACCGGAGCAACGGATAAATAAGAAGCCGACACGTGTGGAGCAATCAAGTCCAGAACGTTGTAACTAGCGCTGCAACGTTACAACTACTAGATTGGGGGATTTGATGACGTGCCTAAGATAGCATGAGAGAATCGCACCTGGCTAAGAAACCAGACATGTTAGCCAAACCAAGCCTAGCGGGCTTAGTGCCCGCCGGTGCCCTTAAGAACAGGGCACCCTCGACAAAAGGATCGCCCCCACCGGGGACGCTCCCAGTACCAAGACAAAAGAAACAATCATGAGACAAGAGGAAGGATCAGACCATTATCACCAGAGCCAATAAGAGCACTCTAACAGATAGAGGTACACAACTTTCCAATCAGCGCCTCTGGTCCTATCTCCTACAGACAGGACATGATTGCTAGGTATAAAAGCGTACACTCTGGATCTCACAAGGTAAGCCATCTTCTTCTAGTTATTCACAAAAGAAACCCAAGATACCATCTAAATTGACCATCGGGGCGTCTTTCCGAGAGCCTCCTCTCTGGAAACGGCTGATGGCCCTTCTTTCTTGTGATCTTGCAGAGGCCACCGGAGATTCAATATAATAGAGCGAGTCTTTCAGCACAATGAGGTCACATTATTTGCTGTCATCCGTTTTGTGTAACGAAGAACAAAACTAAAAGCACAACTCAGTTAAATTGATGGCGTCTAACGGCAACGATGGACATAGAAGAGCTCAAACCAGTCCCATATGGTCTATGACACCATTGGACGACACACCGCCACCGACGGTAGCAAATAGAGATGCCGTGGGTGAAGGAAGCTCTGTGGTTGTAACATCCAGGATTTCAGGTATTATTTTTATCATTTATTTTGGAGTCTAAGAGAGAGAGAGAGAGAGAGAGAGAGAGAGAGTCTCAACGAGTTGATGCCTACACTCGTCGAGTAGGGTCGTGTGGTGATGACTGGATTAATGAGTGGACTCGACAAGTCGGTGCGAGGACTCGATGAGTCCGTGCTGGTGACTAAAACCCTAATTTCCGGGGTTTAAGCCCTATTTAAAGGACCTTATAGCCCTTCATTGCGGCTACCTTCGTCCTTGAGAGCACCAGAGCATCTGAGAGTCCTTGTGAGTGAGAAAAGAGGCCATTATTCATGAGCCTTGTGTGTGTTAGCAAGAAGGGAAGAGGAAGGTCAAGCTAGGAGAGTTGGGGATCTTGGATCTACTTTCATTTGGATAGAGGAATCTATTTGAGGTATTATTCAGAGCTTATTCTCGTGTTTTTATTGATATAGTCAAATCTAGGATTTCTTCATGCCTTGATTAGTTTGTAATTGGAGTGTGAGAGGTCCCAGGGGGGATTGGTACCTAGATCTAGACCTTAAAAGGTCCAGAGAGTCCCACATGCTCTACTTTATGCCTTTCCTTTTGAGTTGTGGACTTAGGTTACCATTTTAGAGGTCATTGCACCAAAAGAAGCTTTGCAGGCGTTGCATGGGTGCCAAGATTGAGCAGACTCGACGAGTCGGACTGGGTTGTCCCGTGACTCACACAGTTGGTGACTCGCTGAGTTGGGGGAAAGACTCGGTGAGTCAGTTGGGATTTAGACGACTGGAATTCACGTATGAACTCACCGAGTCAGTGCCTGACTCGACGAGTTGGGTCAAAGGGGGGTGGCCATTGACCAACGCTAACCATAGTTGACTTGTGTTGACTTAAGGGCAATAGTCAAATTAAGTTAGGAAGGTATTAACTAGAGATGTGATTATGCTATAGGAGGAAGCTAGGTTGGAGGATTGAGATTGAGTGATTATCCGACATCTTCGAGGTGAGTCTTCTCACTATGCCTTACCCGATGGGGTGTTTATGTGTGACCGGAAGGTCTTATGTGTATGATAAAAATGTGATGCATGTTTTATATTATGTTATGATATGAATGTGATGATATGGACCGGAAGGTCAACAGAGTAATGGGATGGAAATCCCCTGAGACACTTGGATCGGAAGATCCCATAGAGCTATGGCCTGGAAAGGCGTATGTGTTGTACGTGGTATTTTGGGGAACTCACTAAGCATTATTCCTTACGGTTTTCGTGTTATGTGTTTCAGGTACTAGTGATGATCGCAGGAAGGCGCCGCCATGATCAATACACACTTATGGTGGAGATGTTTGAGATTCTGGGGATTTTGATTTGCACTTATCTTATGTAAAAACAATTGATACATGTTTTCGAGAATTATGATTGGAGTTTTTTATTAAATTAAAAATGAAAAATTGTTTTGAAATTTCGGTGTTACAAGTTGGTATCAGAGCCTTGGTTTGAGGGATTCGGATTCACCTTCGGGTGTATTTGAACTCAAACTGAGGATTTGAGAAATGTTTTCATAAAAGAAACAATTTTTCCAAAAAGTAAAAGAATTTGAGGAAAGTAGAAAAAATCAGTGTGTACGATCAGCCAGCGCCCGAACGGTGATTTCCCAAAATACCCTTACATTATGTGTTATGAGATATGCTATGATATGTTATGAATGCTAGAGTAAGCTAGGTATTCATGTTAGGACTAGAGTGGCATGATTTGTGATGCCTTAGCCTAGGAGATTTCTGCTGCTAGGAGATGCTTGAGAGCGAGTAGGTAGCAGCGAGGAGCTTATGAGAGGCTTACCGAAGGGTAGCCTATGCTAGAGAGATGTAGAGTATTTGTGAGCTGGGATCCTAGGAGGATGACTTGGGGTGAATTTTGATGTGGTGTGGGCGGTAGTATTGGGCCCGTACTACCGAAGACACCGGATCAGTGCGCAATCCAAGTAAGAATCCTTAGGGTACTAGGGAGTAATTGGGGTTGATTTATCAAGTGCAAGTATAATTGAGCGAGTCTATGATATTTTTATGTTTTATTTCAGAGGCATCATGGTTGGGACACGCCATAGACCGGGGACTAGCGAGGGGGTGCGAGCAATGAGGAGCTCCACCAGATGATTCATGATGAGGTGGCTGCGACCATCCGAGCTGAGATACCAGAGATGTTCGGGTCTATCAGGACCATGCTGATTGAGACCTTTGATGAGCGGTACGCCGCTCTTACTGACGTTGCTACTGCCGTGGCCACCGCATCCGTCGCTGCTGCCAGGCCACAAGGAGGTGACTCGTTGCTGTATCGGGAGTTCAGCAACACGAAGCCACCAGAGTTTAATGGGACGCAGGATCTGATTGTTGCGATGAGGTGGATATCTGATATTGAGGGATGCTTCTACACCTCTTCGTGTCCAGAGCATTTGAGGGTTCGGTTTGCACTGAACTAGCTTCGCTTGGGAGCGAAGGACTCGTGGAAATTTGTTACGGCACATATTACTTCTACGGAGATCTTAGCGGTGACCTGGGAGAGGTTCATCACTATGTTTAGAGACGAGTACGTTCCCCCGGTGGAAAAGGAACGGTTGGCCCAGGAGTTCTTGACCCTCAAGCAGGGTACTATGTCAGTCACTGTGATCACCAGGAAGTTGAATGAGAGGGTGACGTTCTGCCCTGAGCACGTGTCATCTAAGCAGGCGCGCATGAGCTGGTATCTGAGCATTCTGAGGAGGGACATTCGGGAGTTCGTATCGAACTCAACATACCGGACATTTGCTGAGCTTCAGGCAAATGCCCGGAAGAGGGAGATTGAGTTGGAGACTCAGGCCATGGAGGAGGCCGAGTCTTAGGGTTTGGATAGCCGACCGACACAGTCTCAGCCGACAGCCAAGCGGGCAAAGCCTGCCGATTCGAGATCTGGAGGCTAGAAGGGTCGCACTTGCGGAAAGTGCGGCAAGGGACATGATTGTAACGCCTGTGTTTATGGGCCTGTCATTAATGTTGATATAATAGTCTAGGATAACCTTTGTAACCTGTTTTGAAATAATAAGAGTGTATTATTTGAATATTATGTGTTTTGTGCTTAATTGCTTAATTATGTGGTTTGATTAATTAAGAATAAAAATAAGCGTCAAAATTTAAGTATAAAATAAACTTGATATCTTTGGATAATGTTGTAGTAGTTGAAACAAGGTTTCCGAAGATATAAAGAATGCCGAAATCCAAGTTATAACGAAGAAGTTATGACCTGTCGAAGTTTCGCGACAGAACCGGCAACGCTGAATGACGTAAAAAGTGAAATTTACGTTAGAGCGATATTTAGCCTTAGTGATCTAAACGAGAATCAAAGATCTCATTGTTAGTATCGAAGCGATAAAAAGTTAGGCGAGAACGGACGTCAAACGAAGAAGTTATGAATTTATAACGAAATTTTCTATCCCGATCTATTAAAAATAAATAATAAAAATAAATTCAAAATTAGCCGACGGAGTCTAAACGAAAGTTGTAAAGCGTAGTCTCACCTTCGCGTGGATATAAAGAACGTCGAAAACGGAGTTCGTATGAAGAAGATATGAATTTTCGAAGTTTATTAAATAATTAATAATTAAATTTAATTATTAAATCCCGGTATTATCTGAAGACGAGTCATCGGACTCATCTGAAGTACGCCCCGCGTACCCAAGGTATGTCGACACTCGCACTCGAGTTCTTCGGATGACGCATGCGCTTACGAACCAAGGCGTACACCCCGCGTACTGCGAGGCCTCAGCCTCCTATAAATAGGATGCGAGGGCAGCCGATTCTTTTGCTATTTTTCTCCCTTCTCTCTCCCGTTTTGCATCGATTTACATGCTAGAAGTACCTCGAATCCCCGGTATTATTCTCGAGCCTCGAAGCAAGTCCCGAGATCCCGAAGATCCCGAGAATTGCGGTTTCCGAGCTGAAGCTCTGCCCGCGAGAAGTTCGATTTTTGTGAAGATCTTCCAGATCTGCTG